CTGCTTAAATTTTAGGTCTTTGTCGGGTATACTGCTTTTAACCATACTATCGACTATCCGTTCCAAGGTTTTAAGTAGGAAGGACGTAAGACTTGTCGGTCGATAAGTCTTAGGTATCGAATAGCTAGGTTTCCCTGGTTTAGGTATAAATATTACCCTTGCATCCTGAAATTTAATGGGGGTATATGTGAATTTCAAGCATGCAGTGAATATCTGAGACAGATGTAAGGAAACCAGTCCCGGCTCCATATGTAAGAGTGCCGGGAAAATTCCATCCGGCCCTGCAGCTTTATAGGGAGGGAAGCTCTTGATTGCCCCTTTAACCATATCAGATGTAATTACAATTTCCGTGTTAGCCTCCCCTTCCTCCAATATCGGTTCATCTATGTTATTCGATATACCGGGTGGGAAATGAGAGTCCGTTAGGAGTTTCATTGCCTCCTATATATCCTCCAGCTTCTTGCCCGTATCATCGACCATAGATTCCGGTTGGAAATGAGATTCCAAAGTTCAAGTATTTGACCATAATAAGCAATAATAATAAGCATCTTCGCTCTCAGGGGTACCTAGTCACGTTTTTAGGCATATTAGCTTTTGTTTTTCGGTTTCAGTACTAGTTGTAGTTGTAAACAGTATGGCCTTTATTTTGACGTATGACACGGTCAAATAGCTTTAGCAGTTCCAGAGATATGGGTCGCCGAAATCGCTAAAAGTAAAAACTGCTAAAAAATCTAGATTTTCAAAATTTTGAGGCCCCTGTGGCACGGGTTAACATCTTTCAATAGTGCTCAAACTTTGGAAATCCTAAAGTCTGACAGAAAGAAACATTTTAGGGGTGCCCGCAAAAAAGTTCTGAAATTTTTTTACCCTATGAGATAAAATTACTCTAATACACATATATCCTCTTTTCAAAAGAACTAACTAACTACCCGGGAAAAACTTACATTAAAAAGTAATGAGTTATAAAGCTAATAAAACCTCTTTTCACTAGATCTTCATTAGCATTTTAAGTCATTATTTTAACACGGTGATGTCATTTGAAGCAAATACTTTAACGCTCGCTTACAAATAGGGAGTTAAAGAAGTACTTGCATTTCTCTTTCTTTGTTTAGTAAGTTGTTTTATTTTTTAATAATAACAAGTTAGAGTGCTATATTCGGCTGAGCCGAATACCCTCCACCAGCTACTTTTATATTAATAAAATTTTAGCTAATCAAATAAACGATTTTCTATAATATTTTATAGCACCTTAAAATATGCTTTAAATATATTTAATAACTTCCAGGTATGCATGTGTATGAAATAATTAAGGAAATTTAGATATATGTTATTCAGAATTTGTTTATACAAAATACGTTTTACAAAAAAAAAAAATAAAAAAAAAAAACAATTATATACGGTTTACAGTAACATTTAGCTTTTTTGGTAATAAGTGATGTATATTAAAGTGATTTTCGGAAGAGGCTTTGTATGGGACCGATCGTTAAATTGTCAAATTTTGCATGGATATAATTGTTTGGTAATGAGTAATGTGAATTTAAGTGATATTTGGGAGGGGACCTTATATGGGAGCTATAACAAAATATGTGTCGATCGTGATTTTTTTTAAATAAATTTTTTGTACACTAAACTAATATTTGTGTCAAATTTTGTAAGGATATCATTATTTGGTAATGAGTTATGTTCGTTTAAGTGAGTTTCTGAAGGAGAACTTCTACGGGAGCTATGACCAAATATGGACCGATAATTTTACACTATAATTTCTATATATAAAAGCAATGTTTGTGCCAAAATTTGTATGGATACCATTATTATATAATGAGTTATGTGCGTTCAAGCGATTTTCGGGAGGGGACCTTGTATGGGAGCTAAGACCAAATATGGGCCGATCATGAAAAAATTTTACAGTATCATTGATGAAAATCCTCTTAATATATGTAAGACAGATTTTCTTTTTATATAAAATAATAATATTTTATTTAACAATGATCTATATTCAAAAAGTTCTATAAGTTGTGTGTAGAAAATTTTTGAAGTTCTCAGAAAATTATAATAAAAACAATTTCAAAGTAAACTAAAATATATATGTTGAATATAAGAAGTGTTTTGTTAACAAGTATATTTCTAAAACTCCTCCTCAACATGTTTATTTTTTAGAAAAAAAATAATTTTTCAAATTTAACATTTCAACAAATTTATTATGTTTTGCTTTAACCAAGTTTTCGTAAAAACTAATTTCATTTTTATTGACAACTTCTCTAATGTGATGATGTTTTATATCTATATGTTTGCTACGATTATGGAATACCGGATTTGTTGTTAATTTTAAGGCCCCTTGATTATCGACATTTAATTGGACACTTTCTTCATTAAGAATCCCAAGTTCTTGCAGCAACCTTCTTAAATATACTGCTTCTTTCGACACGTTTGAAATTGACATATATTCAGCTTCAGTGCTGCTAATGCTGTTGTCGATTGCTTTTTTGATTCCCACGATATTGGACAATTTCCTAAATAAAATATGTATCCAGAGTATGATTTTCTATCAGTAGTACATCCACTCCAATCGGCATCCACATACCCGACCAATTTTTTGTCACTTTTACAAAATTTTAATTTTAGGTTTTGAGTTCCTTATAGGTATCTTAATACATTTTTCGCAGCTTTGAAATGTTCTACATGTGGATCTACATTCCTTTGAGCTAACTTCGATACAGAATGTAATATATCTGGTCTTGAGGTTAGTCCTAGATATAATAAAGCTCCAATAAGGGATTGGTATAAAGTGCAATCAACTTTTTCACAGTTTTCTTCACATTTAATTTGATAATTGGGATCTAATGGTACTGATGGCGGTTTACAGTTTTCCATATTATACTCTTTCAACAAATCTTTGATATATATTTCTTGGCTGATTTCAATATTTCCGGTTTCAGCATCTCGTTTAAATTTGATGCCCAAAAAATGTTCCAATAATCCTTTATCAGTCACTTCAAACTCTTTGGCTATCTCAGATTTAAAATTTAATATTTCATTTTGATTCGCGCATCCAACAATTATATCAACCACGTAAACTGCAACAATAATTAAATTATTATTATTCATCTTTTTATATAAACATGGCTCGTTTTTGCAACTTTTGAATCAGATTTTGCATAAAACATCGTTTAATTTAAAGTTCCATTTTCTACCGGCTTGCTTCAAGCCGTATAATAACTTATGCAAACGTAGAAATTTATTTGGAGAATTCTTATCTTCGAAACCCTCTGGTTGTTGCATGTAAATTACATCGTGTAATTCTCCATTTAAGTATGCTGTAACGACATCTAACTGGTGTAGGTACATACATATTGTATTCAACTGCTAATGCCAAAACCATTCTTATTGTTTCATGTCTTATAACAGGGGAAAATGTTTCTTTGTAATTTAATCCATATTTCTGGCTGCACCCTTTAGCTACCAGCCTTGCTTTGTAACGCTCGATTTTACCTTCACTATTTTTCTTTAAAGTATATACCCATTTGTTCTTGATTGCTTTTTGACCTTTTGGTAAATCTTCTAACGACCAAGTTCCCTTTTGTTGTAGTGAATGAGTTTCTTTTTCCATAGCTACTTTCCATTTTTCATAATTCGGACTGGATAATGCTTCTTCTTGGAATTACTTCCTTCACCGCATTGTTCAGTACTTTGGATACACGTGAATATCCTACCATCACCATTTGTGAACCTTTGGGATCAAATTTACCTTTCTTTTGATTCAAAACAACCACATTAGAACCAAAAATTTTTAAATGGTTAACACTTGGTTTACGACCAGTCCATATTTCATATGGTGTTTTGTTATCTAGGTTTTTTGAGGGAGATCTGTTACGTAAATATGCTGCTGTTGCAACTGCTTCAGCGCAAAGGTTTTGACTAAGTCCCGAATCAACTAACATACAACGTGCCATTTCAACTATGGTGCGATTAGCTCTTTCAGCCACTCACTTTTGCTGTGGCGTATATGAGCTGTCGTTGTATTCCATGTTGTTCTAAATACTGGCTAAATTCCTTACTTAGGTATTCTCCACCATTGTCACTACGGAGGCATTTTATTTTACGATTGGTTTGGCGCTCTAACATTTCCTTAAATATTTTAAATTTTTCGAAAACTTCACTTTTATATTTTAGAAAATATACAAAAATGTTTCTGGATTTGTCATCTATGAATGTAAGGAAATATTTTGAGCCGCCAATTGAATCTACATTCATAGGACGACAAACGTCTCTAATAACTCACCAGATTTGCTATTCGAATGTTTTGAAAATTTTACTGCATGAATTTTACTTACCATACAGGTTTGACACGGCTCACCAAACTCTTTATTTATATCCATACCGTGTATCATATTTTTCTTGGACAAATCATAGAGACTTTGATAGTTTAGTTGTCCATACCTTCGATGCCAAATTTCATTGTTTGAATTTAAAGCACGTATTTTCTCCTTAGGTTCTTTGACGTCAAACACAAATAGATTATCTTCCATTCTGGCCTTCAAAATCAATTCGTTATTTTCATCAGTAAAAACTGCACCATGTTGATTAAATTTGATTTTTCGCCATATTGAGCTACTTTGCTGACAGATAAAAAATTACCATTCAAATCTGGAGAATATAAAACATCTTTTAGTTCAATTATACTATCATTGACAGTTCCAATTCCTATGACAACAATTGATTTATTATTTGCTAACATGATATTGTTATTACATTCATCCAGTTTTATAAATAAGTTTCGATTTGCAAAATTGTGACTTGTAGCACCACTATCAATGTACCAGGATTTTAGACTACTTACTTTTTCAGATTTCGCCATTGCAATTAAAGTGTACGATTTTTGTTGACCACGTTTTGAGTTACAATTATTTGCGTAATGACCCTTTTTACCACATATAAAACAATTTCCTTTTGTTACCTTTGCAGCTTCTTTGTTTTTCCAATTCTTGTTTACATTTTCCTTTTCATCCTAATTCATCTTGTATACGTATTCCAACATTAGCTAATTTCTCCGTAATGTCGCAAAAATTGTTTAGATATTCTGCCATATCTTTAATGTCCTTCATATTTTTATTCTGCATTGGTCCACTAGGCTCATAAACTTCTTTAAGTTTATTCCAGGCATCTTTAGATTTTGTAATGTTCTTGATATAATTCAGCTGGGAAGACTGATATAATTCAGCTGGGAAGACTAATATTTCATTTTGGCCCCATGTCGAATCAATTTGCTCATCTCCATTAACATATTTCCATGTACCGGCATGAATCAGGATGCTCCTCATCTGAATTTTCCACGTCTCATAATTTTTTTTCGTCAAGCTTCTCTATCTGATATAAAGACGACGATGCCATCTTGAGACTCTTGCACAACTTTTTATTTTAATTTCAATTAATCAATAATACTTTTTCCCACACGTTCTGTCTGGGCCATTAACCTGATGAAAATCCTCTTAATAAATGTAAGACAGATTTTCTTTTTATATAAAATAATAATATTTTATTTAACAATGATCTATATTGAAAAAGTTCTATAAGTTGTGTGTAGAAAATTTTTGAAGTTCTCAGAAAACTGTAATAAAAACAATTTCAAAGTAAACTAAAATATACAGTGAATCAACTAAGTTTTTTGCCTACCTTTTTTAAGAGAATTTTGTTTTTTGTTCATAAATAAAATTCAAAAAAACAGGTAAAAAGTAAATTTATGTTTTCCAATTGAAAATAGAGATTATGTGGAATGGGAAAACCAAGAAAAAAATATTAAAATAAAAATTTTGGTGCATTTGTTGTTGCATTTTATTATTTTACATCAGAATTTGCACGTCAATAAAGTATTTTGCATATTGAAATTTCCAGTTAATTTCGTTGGGTTTTTCAAATTATTTTTTAATTGCTTTTTGCAATTTATTGTTTTATTGTTAAAAGGACACGTGTTAAGTATTTTTCAATTGTAATTTTCAAAAATCATATCCTTATTGTGTGAAACTGTATAGTTATTTGCGTCAAAAATGTTTAAAGGGAAATAATGAGGCAATTCCAATATAAAAAATTAGTTTAGATTTTTAGGACAAGTATAAATCAATGAAATTCAATTATGAGATGTTTAATCAATCATTAAAAAATATAAAATATAGAAATTGATGAAATAACACAAAGAATTATTAAAAAACGCACTGAGTTGTCTTTCAAAATCTTTAACTGCCAAAGGAGAGCGACTTTGCAAAAACCATTGAAGTCCTCATTTTTCTTCTCCAAAGTCCATATACGAACTTAAAAGAACACTATGTTTAAATTTAGACCTCTAAAAAGACCTTAGGTTGCTTGGAAACAATATAAAGTGAACTATCGTGTGGTACGGGAAAAAATACTTAATTTAGATATTTAAAAATAGAGGCGGTTCTCATCACCTAAGATCCACAAAAGCAATATTTTTCAGCTAATACATACACGTATATATAGTTAGAACCCAAATCAGGAATAACTATCCAAATCCAACTACGACTACTGTATTTTATTCATAAAATAATGCATACAAAATATGAGGTAGAATATCAAGATTCTAGCATGTAATAGTTCTATAGTGGTATACGGTGATATCCCCATACTTAGAGTGGCTAGGATGGTACTTAGTGTTAGCTTTATTGAATAAGAATCAATATTATACAATTCTAAATGAAATTCACACAGTACTCCCCAAATAGATGGGGTTTCCGTAATGTAGTTTTTGTTTATCAATACAAAATGACCATTGTTTTTGTTATAATCTATAGATTTATACCCCACTGAAATTTTTTTCTAGGTCCAAATCCATTGATTTCCTAATATATCATGTATGCAATTCAAAATTACTTATTATTTTCGAAATTAAATCAAAGAAACGATAGATTTCATGTTAAGTCAAATATTGAAAAATTCTTATAGGTATATAGGATATTAAATCGATTAAGAAATGTTCAAACTTAGTCGTTGCACTACTAAAATATCTAAAAAATGTTATTCTAATACATAGGAGTAATAAAAATATTAAATTTTATAAAATAACGCAGCAATATTAAAAAAATGAACAAAAAACCTAAAAAAGCAAAATACTTTATTGACCTTAAAAATTAACAATACGTTCACATTTTATCAAAAATCTCGTTAATTAATATCACGATTTTGCTTTTTATGGTAGAAAATTAAAATATAAGATATTCTTTAAAAAGTACAACAAACAAATTGCTTTATTTTGCTAAAAATAATTGTTCAGATAAAGTTTTTTCTTAAAATTTATAAAATTTTACATAGGCAAATTACTTAATTGATTCACTGTATATGTTGAATATGAAAAGTTAACAAGTATATTTCTAACAATCATTTCTATATATAAAGGCAATATTTGTGCCAAAATTTTTATGGATACCATTATTTAGTAATGAGCTATGTGCGTTTAAGTGATTTTCGGGAGGGGACTTTGTATGGGAAATCAATCAAAAATCAATTAAGAATTGACCGATGGTCTTCAGATTTCTTTAATTTTTTGTAAACACATACTCTATTGGATATATAAGACATATCTACATAAAATTCCAAAAAAACGAGTTTCATGGCGATTTTAATTTGTTCTAAAACTACAAAAAATCACAAAGGTATAAAACTTTAAAGGTTCATATCTTTGAGAGTTAATATCTGATTTTGTTGATTTAAAACACAATCTAATACTATGACTGTGCTCTTTCATTTTAATATAATTTTTATATTAAAAAGTTAAATATAGTGCATAGTTTTTATGGAAATGCACTTTTTGAATGCATTTTTGAAATCGTTCTTACTGTTCAAAATTTTTTAAAAGTACTTTAATCGATTATTTGAACCTTTTTATGCAAAATATAAAAATATAAAAATAGGAAATTTTAAAATTTTATTGATATTTTATGCATTTAACAGAATTTAAAACTGCTTAAATTACAGTACTGATCAGAATTGGGATGCAAATATTTAAATTCGATTACCACTAATGTACGCTTTCATCAAAATGCGTTTCAAAATAATATTTTTTAAGATAAATGCATTTTTGATGCAAATGCATATTGTGTGCATTTTCTACATTGTTCTCCATGTTTAATATATATTGTAAGTGCATTATTGATAAATCTATAATTTTTTATATAAAATAACAATTTTTATATTTTTGATGGGCATTTGATCTAATTTAAACTAAAAAAAATGTATTTTCAAAATATAGCAAAAATTGATGCTAGAATATTCGTTTAATAAAAAAATTTATTTTATATAATATAAAGAATAGCAAATTTTGATTTATGATATTTTAACATACTGTCAACAGAGAGAACGACTTGGAAAACGCACTCAAGACCTGGTCCACACTAGGAAACTTTTGTTTAAGAAACTTTTTCTTAATTCTCTTTTGAAGTTTCCTTAATGTTCACACATAGAAACTTTTGTTTCAGAAATTACGTATTAATTGCATTGATTTGTTGTTGTACGAATGAGAAGAATAACAAAACAAGTTTCCGAGTACGAGAAACTCCGTACCGCGAGAGAGATGAATGATATTCTTTCTCTCTCACGCAAAATCAAACGTTTCCTAAAAAAAGTTTCCTAGTGTGGACCGGCAGCAAGGTGCACTTGCATCAAAAATGCATTTATCTTCAAAAATATTATTTAGAAATGCATTTTGATGAAAGTGTACGTTAGTAGTAATCAAATTTAAATATTTGCATCACAATTCTAATCAGCAATGTATTTTAAGCAGTTTTAAATTCTGTTAAATGCATAACATATCAATAATATTTAAAAATTTCCCAATATAAAACATTTTCAAAAATATAGATGAACTGCACGTCACAAAAAAATATTTTTGTATTTTGCATAAAAAGCTTCAGATAATCGATTAATGCACTTTTAAAACATTTTGAACAGGGAGAACGATTTCAAAAATGCATTCAAAATGTGCATTTCCATAAAAAATGCACAATCTTAAAATTTTTAATATAAAAATTATATTAGAATAAAAGAACACAGCCATATAAACTCTCAAAGATATGAACATTCAAAGTTTTATACCTTTTTATTTTTTTGTAGTTTTCGAACAAATTAAAACCGCCACAAAAATTGCGTTTCTTGAAATTTTTCAAAATAAAAAACAGAGTTTTTTTATTTTCTACATAAAGAACATATATTGATAATATGAAGGAAATTGAAAGACATGAGGTCAAAAATTTTCAGTTTTTCTGTGTTCTTTCCTGGAATTCATGATATACTTTGTGGGGTCTCAGATTAATATTTTTTGGTGATACACACGGAATGACAACCTTATATATATCCTCTATCACCACTGATGGTGGTGGAGGGCATAAAAAGAACCAGCTAGAATACAAACCAGGGACTTCGGTTTGTTAGTCACATCTTCTACTCACTCAACCACTGCTTAGCTATTTTATTGCGCGTCAAATAATGATTTTCACATACAAATCCATTTTTGTTTTCTTTTTTGTAAAACACAATTTTTAACACGCAATTAAGTAAAATGTGCAAACAAATGGCAATACCGAAAATAAAGTACTTCTATATCAGATTATATAAGTCATTACTAGAGTACTTCTAAGTAATACAGACGGCAAGTAAGTAATTGATAAGTAAGTGGTTATGGAAGTACAACCCATTGCCGAGTTTTAGCTAGGTAACTATTGAATTTTTTTTAAATTCAACTATACTTTTTAACATTTCTTGTTAAATTCACGTTGTTCGTCCTTAATTGTACCTTTTCTTATGAATTTACCATAAAATTTATTATTTTTTAAAATATGCAGCTTAAATCTTTGTATTTTTAAATTTTTTATTAAATATAATTATTAGATAATTTGTTTAGGCTAAATATAGTAAGAAGCTATATTTACAGGTGTAAGGATAAAAAGATGATGTACCAACCTGTATGTTTGTATGTATGTATGTATGTATGTATGTATGTATGTATGTATGTATGTATGTATGTATGTATGTATGTATGTATGTATGTATGTATGTATGTATGTATGTATGTATGTATGTATGTATGTATGTATGTATGTATGTATGTATGTATGTATGTATGTATGTATGTATGTATGTATGTATGTATGTATGTATGTATGTATGTATGTATGTATGTATGTATGTATGTATGTATGTATGTATGTATGTATGTATGTATGT